TCTGGGCCTCACCGTTCTCATGGGAAAACCACAAGGGTGCTGGACAGACTCGGGCCCTCGAGTCAAGGCCACAAGGAGGGAGGGGCGTGAGTGCTCTGGGGGGCCCGGGGACCTCCCTGAGGCCCCAGCCCCACCAGGAGGAAGCCGCGTGGCAAGAGCAGGGCCAGGGGAAACCTAAGGGTGGCCCACCTCATCTTCCCACGCCTTCTCTCCACTCCAGCAGGCCAGGACAACCTCTCCTCTCGTGCCTGGCCACCCTGAAGATCACTGGACCCATCTGCTGGGTGGACAAGGGCAGCTCCAACGACAGCAGGTATCCCAAGCCCTACACTTTCCGTGGGACACTCTGCCAAGGAGGGTCCCTGCCAGGAGGGACTGAGGGCCATGTCCCCTGAGACAGCCCAGCCCGCCTGAGACCCAGGGCTTCTTGTCCTATTTCTATTATCCTATTTCCTCACATTCCTCATGTACACGGGGAGGGGCCTTGGCCTCAGAGCATCACCCAAGGCTGAAGGTGCTTCTGAGCCTGACACGGGAAACATCAGTGTCCCTCGTTACGAGAGCCGCAGCCACAGCCCCAGCTCTCCTGCACGCTGACAGGGTGTGGTGAGAAGGAAGGACCACACAGCCTCTTCCAGGCTACAGGCTGGCACCCTTCACTTAGCACATGCTCTCTGGTCCCCTATGTCCTCTACTTAGGCCCCCTTCCAACAAGAGGCAGAGCAGCCTAGGGTGTGGACGGCCAACCCTGTCGCCTACAAGGCCTGGTGCCAGAAATACTAACTGAGAGGCTGAAGCTCTAAAGATAGGGAGGCGTGCCAAGGACAGGCACACACGCTGGGGCTTTTGACGTGGGCACCTAGTGGCAGCAGAAGGGATCCAGGGCTCGGACACACTGCACTGAAGCTCACTTTCTAGCTCTATCACTTCCCAGGCACGGCACCTCTGAACAGGCTCACGCTGCCCACCTGTCCCACCATCTGCAGGCTGCAGACAAGATCAAACGATACCAGAAGCAAAATTATTTTGAAAAATGGCAAAGCTGACAGAACAGGTGAGGTGTCATCAGGGCAGAGGGGCTGAGAAACCAGGCAAGGGGGCCTGCGTCTCCCGAGGCCCTGGCTCAGGCCCAGCACCATGCGAGGGCCTGCAGGTCCCACACTCAGCCCTCCCCAAAGTCCTACGATACAAAAACTAACAGTTCCCACTTCCATGAGGACAGAGGCTGACATGCCCATGGTCACACACAACGACCACATGAGAGAACCAAGATTCAAACCAAGGTTCCCCATGCCCTCTGCAGCCTCCACACAGCTGCTCTCCCTAAAGCGGCCAGGGTCCGGGCCGCTACAAAGGTTACTAGACTTCCACCCAGGAAAAGTGCTGCACGCCAGGGGCCCTCCCAGGGGCCTGCCGGCGGCCTCGTTTGGTGACCCGTCCCGGCAGGCGGAGCTCTACTTACAGGCACTAGTATCTGCTTGCACCCGGCAGCCAGCACCGTGTCCTGCAGCATGCGGTCCGAGATGCCGCTGAACAGTGTGTGGCCAGGCGGCAGGCTGGCCAAGTGCATGTTGAAGAGGCGCTTGAGTTCACTCAGTGTGACCACAAACTGTCTCTGGAAGGTGGCCTCCACGAAGGCCCTCAGTTCCCGGGCCACAGGGCTGCTGGCACCTCCTGGGGGAGGGTGCCCGTTGAAGTTCTCCCCCGCCGCTGCCCGCCCCGCAGGCAGCCCATTGGGCAGCCTGGTGCTGAGGCCGCCGCTGGGGGACGTGTCCATGGCCTCCTCTTCCTCCTCCACCTCCTGCTCCTCCTCCTCCTCCCCCTCCTCACTCATGGGCTCCTCCTTGATCCGCACACCGGGCAGCACGGCGGCCGCCTGCACCTGCTCCTTCCTGCGCTGCAGATCCCGCTCCAGCAGCGCGTGGTTCTGCTGGGCCTTGGTTTTGGCAGCTTGGACCCGCTGATCCCCAGAGAGCAGCCCGGCAGCTACTGTGGAGAGAGGGACAGCACTGCTCAGAGAACCCTGCTGCCAAGGGCCTAAGACCAAGGCCCAGGGTCCCTCTGCCCTGGGGACCACCCCACCTCCCGGGCAGGAACAACGCAGGGCAGCGGGGCCGAAGCAAAGGCCCATCCCTGCCTCTCACCCCACTTCCTCGGGGGGTGAGCAGCCCCAGGAATATAGGAAAAAAGAGGGCTGGGAAAAAATTAATTCCCGCATTCAACTGAGGGTGGGGTTCTGTGGAGTTGCTGCCACACCTCTGCCCGCCCCATGACCTCCTGCTGACCCAGGAGGGCAGGCAGGTCTGCAGGGCCTGGACCCAGACCCAGCCTGGAGAAGCCGAGGCCTCGGTCCCTGAGGCTGAGCCTTTGCTGCTGGCGATGCCTGTAGCTGACATCTGTGGGTGGCAGGGGAGGGGGCAGGGTGGAGAAGAGGCAGCCACAAGCCCCGCTCTCTCTCCAGGCCAACCCGGAGCAGCTTTCCAGAGCTAGTGCCCGTGTGAGGGGCCTGCCCAGCCCCGAAGGCCCTCACCAACCTGATTGTCCGTCTGGCTTCTTTGGCATGGTTTCCTTTACAAGATTGTAGACTTTTTCTAATCTGAAAAGAAAGGGAAACCCACTTAATTTTCTGTCACACCTCCCCCATCATCTCTCTCACAAAAGACATTCCCATTGAGCTCCAGGATGTCCTGGTCACGCCTGCCCATCCCTCTTCCCTGCAGTGAGGCCCTCTCCTCCCAGAGCCCACTTCCACTTGGTCCCCCAGAGTGGTGGCCACCTCTCCCTTCCTCAGCCTCTCTCTTTCCGGCCTGCTGTGGGCCACACGCCCTTGCTCCTGAGCGCCTCTCCTCACATCCTGCCCCTCCCCCCGCTCTCCTGGCTGGGGGTGGGGGTGGAGGAAGGTCCGGGCCCGCTGAGCTCCGGATATGCTTCACAGCCCCAGGCCTGGCCGGCCGCCTGGCCTGCCCCTGAACTCCTGCCGGGGGGCCGCCCTCGCCCCACCCCGCCGCTCTCACTTGGCCTGGATGCCCGTCCACAGCATGTGCTGCCGCTGGACCACGTCCGGGTGCTTCTTGATGAACTCCTCGTCGTAAGGCAGGAGGAACTCCCAGCCTTTGTTGATCCTCACCACGGCCATGTGCTCCAGGAAGTCCTTCACGTCCTCCGTGCAGAGCTGGGGGAAGGCCAAAGCCACATGTGAGGCCACACCGGCGAGCGTCCCGCCTCAGCCCACAGATGGGCCTGGCCTCCGGTCAGGAAGAACACCACTTACTTTGGTCACCGTCGCCACCTCTTTCCTCACTACCCAGCGGCTCTGAGTGAACTTCCACATCTGGGAGAGAAAAACGCAAGCACGTTTCCAGAGGGACAGAGATGAGACTGCCCCTAAGGCCGCCCTCCCAAAATCCACCTGCGTGTCCGGGGGGCCGGGATAAGGGTCCAGAGCAGTGGTCAGCACCTGGGCCTGGTGTCAGGCAGACCTGGGCTGGGCCCTCACTGCATGGCCTTGGGCAATCACTTCACCTTGGCTTTCATTTTCTCCTCTGAGCAATGGAGTATGAGGTTATCTCCACAAGGGGATGGCCACCCACCCCACTCACCCCACCTTCCACCTTGACCACCAAACCTCCCAGGGGCAAGGGATGCCTGCCCATCTTATTCACCACTGTATTCCCAACAACTCCTTGGGGTTACTGTGAGGGTTCAGGGATGCCAACTAGTTCAGGAACCTCAGAGGCACACAGCAACCAGGAAGGAAGGAAACAGGAGGGAAGCAGGCACGCCAGGGGCTGGGGTAACTGCATGGCCGGTGCCGTGCAGGAAAGCGGCCGGCGGGGCCCGACTGTCCAGTTACTCCAGGTAAGCCAGAACCTGGCCAGTGTCTGGACTGAGACTTGTAAAACTTGACAGTCAAGTTAACAATTTAAACGACATTCAATTAAAACATGCTCCTTGGCCAGATTCCGCATGCAGGCCTGCAGTTTGCAGCCTCTGAGCGAGACAGACGCAAAGGGCCTGAGATCCAGACCCGAGGAAGGAAGAGAAAGGAGCGAAGTCCAGCCCACCCTCAGAGGCCACACACGCTTGCTGCCTGTGCACTGCTGGGGCCAGAGAGCCCACGCACTTACCACAAAGTCTCGGCCCCTGCAGAGCACCTCAGCCGGCACGCCGCTGTGGGGGCTGGAGGAGTCTCTGGGGTACAGGATGTCGCTGCCAAAGAGAGTGGGAGGGGCAGGTCAGTCCTGTCCTCAGCTCCCTGCACCCTTCCCTGGGCTCAGTCTCAGTTTCCAGACCACAAATGCCTCTTTCTACCCCTGGCTGGGTGCAGGCCTGAGCCCCACAACTCCCTGAGAAGCCTGGCCCTGTGGACAAGCACAGCAAGGGTTCTTCCTCCTACCTCTTCCCCCTCCCCGCCCACTGGCCCAGGCGGGCCCACTGCATGCTCAGGGAGGAGTCAGGGGCTCAGAGACTAACAAGCTGTGAAGGATACAGCCCAGGACCTCAAGGAGCTCAGGAGGTTTGGGAGATGAGTCCCACCTGTCAAGGACGTGTGGTAACAAGAGAAACAGGTGATGACACAACATGCCGAGGTCAGCACCTGCCGAAACGAATGGGGGGGGCAACGGGAGTGAAGCAAGAGGGCCTGGGCTGGGCACAGGTCGAGGCCCCGGTGGAGTGTAAGCTTTAGAGAGGAGGCTCCAGCACCGAAGGCTCCGAGAACTGAAGGGGGGACTCGGGGAAGGGCCCAGAGGCAAGCAAGCAGGGCCCTGGAGCACACAAAGGAGCTCTGGCGGGACAGTGCCTGAGGCATCTGGCTACTAACCAGAGGCTGGAAGTTCAAACCCACTAACCAACCACTCAGCAGAAGGACGATGGGGCAATTGGCTTCAGTAAGATTTATCACCTCAGAAACCCAATGGGGGTAACTATGAGTCGGAACTGACTCTTTGGCAGTGAGATTTTTTTTGGGGGGGGGGTAGTGCATACAAGCTTCTTCACAACACAATCCTGACCCCTAAAACTCCAGCTACAGACCCCACATCCACATCAGGAGGTCCCTTTATTCTTCTGCCCCCTCTGCTGGAAGGCTCTCCCCGCTCCCCTCCTCTTCAATCCGACCTGGCACCTGACTACCGCTCTCCCTCCAAGGCTGAGCTCTCTGTCTACCTTTTCCCCCAAGCCTGACCAATGACACTAGAAAGGTTCTATGGGCACAGGGACTTTGCCAGTGTTGTTTACCACTGGGTTCTCACCTGGCTGCCGCACTCAGAGGAGGTATCCTCTAGTGTGGGGTAAATGAATGAATGGGGTTTGTGCCCTAGACCTCTGAATTCAATGTGCTTGGCCACCATGGTGCCCACCCCTGCTGCAGGACAGGGGAAGTATGCAAACGAGGGCACAGTGCCTGGCACAGAAAAGCTGAGAGACACTGGCCGTGTGGACGAGCGGGCCTTTGTGTTACCTCCTCACAGGGACACAGAAGACTATACCCACAGGCCCCAGTGCCGCCGACAGACACTGAGCGGCAAGGTCAAGGAGTCCTGACCATCAAGTCCCAGTGACAGCCCACACACCACCAGGGGCGGCACCATCAGGGGCACATGCAGAGAGCCCATGTTTGAGTCATGAATCTCAAGTTACAATCCAAGCTCTGGGGTGAGCTTGCTGTGAGACATCTGGCAAGTTCCTTTACCAGGTATATAATGAGAAAGACCTTTCATTCATCCACAGGACACACCCACACAGGGTGGTCACACTTCATGAGTGGTGGCCACCTCAAAGGTCTACTGTAGTTAAACACTTGTGTGACAAGAGACAACAGTTGCCAAGTACAGACATATTGGGCTTGTGTTAATCAGTGAAAGTGTGCCACCATGTGGCAAAAACATGCTTTACAATTTATTTGGCCAGCCTACTTTGAAACATACTTTTTCAAACTTTAAAATCCTGTATAATTCACATTCTGTAAGATTGCTCAATTTATACTACATTAAAAACACTTCAAAAGTCTTTATTAATGTATTCTAAGTCATACTGTTAAAATTAACGTAACTCAAATATCCATAAAATGTAGCCACACTGTACTCACCAAGGATCTAGTGTGCCAGGCATTATACTGGGCATCATGAATGTAGGAAGAGCTCAGACAGACAATCTCTATACCCTTGAAACTGAGTCTAGTGAAGGAATCCCAGGAGAAAAGAAACTACTGAAAGTTATCAAGCCACAAATTCAAGAATGAACTCCAAAAGGATACAGAGAAAGAAATTCAAACCTAGACAAATCCAATGACACTGTAGAAAACCAAAACAAAGAAGAAATCGGAAAAGTAACCATAAGTAAAAACAGGCAGATTACCTTCAGAAGAAGAATCAGACGGACAGTTGACTTATCAATAAAAACAATGGAAGTACAGCAAGAGCAGTGCTCAGAGAACCATTTATAGCTATAAATGCACACATCAGAAAAGAACCAAACCCACCATCTCCGACCACTGGAAAAAGAAAAGCAAACAAAAAGCCTAACTACAGTCACTAGAAGAGAGGAAACAATAAAGGTGTAAAGAGAAATGAGAAGAAGGAGAAGATGCAAACAATACAAAGTAGAAGTGAAACAGGCAACGTTACAACAGAAACAATTCAACAAAAAGGATAATAACAGAGTACTATGAAGAACTGTACTTCAACAAATTTGAAAACCTAGAAGAAATGGACAGTTTTCTAGCAACACACTACCTCCCCCAAACTAACACAATTTGAGGTAGAAAATCAGTCCTGGCCCAGATGGCTTCACTGGCAAACTCTACCGAACATTCAGAGAAGAGCTGACACCAAGTCTATTCGATTACAGAACACAGAAAATGATGGAATACTCCTGAACTCGTTCTGTGGAGCAAACACAACCCTCACATCAAAACCAGGCAAAGATACCATTAGAAAGAAAAATTATAGACCAATAATAGATGCAAAAATTCTCAACAAAACACTAGCCAACATATCAAAAATATAATACAACATAACCAAGTGGGATTCATACCAGTTATGCAAGGATGGTTCAACATTAGAAAGACAATCACCGCAATCTACCACATAAATAAAACAAGGGGAAAGAACCACATGATCCTATCAGTTGATACAGAAAAGGTACCTAATAAAATCCAATATTCATTCCTGATCAAAATGCTCAACAGAACAGAAATAGAAGGGAAATTCCTTAATATAATTTAAGGCATACACACAAAATTAACAGAGGAGACTGAACGCATCCCTCTTGTAAACAGGAACCAGACCAAGCTGACCCTTTACTATCATCACTCCTATTCACTACTGTAGAGTCCTCCAAAAAAACAAAAGCCAAACTCACTGCTGTCGAATCAGTTCAAATCACCGACCCCTCCCTAGGTTTCCCAAGCAGTATCTCCACAGAAGTACATTGCCCAGTCTTCCTGCGGTGTAGTAAATTACTTAGTGTGGCTTTTCTACCCATAAGTCTTTGTAAACTCTAAGGTGGGAATTGCTATTAGCTACGGAGGAGATCCAGATTTTAAAGTCGCCCACCTGGGTTATTTCTGTTGGGCGTGGCACAATACAATGTTCTGGGAGGTTCCCACTCTCTCTCACATGCTTAGAGTTCTGATGCTGTGATTGGCTAGTTTGACCACCCTTCCAGGCTCAAAAGGAGGCCTCCTGGAAGCAGAACTCTCTCTGACTGCTGGTGGAGGAAGACGTGCTGCCGAAAGAGACACGCACCCCTGAAAGAGACACGTGCTGCTGGGAAAGAGCCGCAAGAGACACGCATCACTGAGTGAGATGCCGAGGGACCAGCACTGCTGAGAAAGAGACTGTGAGAGACTCTTGGCTGAGGGACGGTGGGCTGGGAGAGAGACTGAGCGTTCTTCCTGGACTTGAGTTGTAGCCTGGTGCTTCCCTAATAAACCCCATAATCTGTGAGTTCTGTGTGGCCACTGCAGTGAATTATCGAACCCAGGAGAGAGGTGGTGGGTGCCTTGGGAGGAACGGTTGGTAAAAGGGCTGGAGGGAGGCAGCATGTCTGGCCTTGCAGTAATAGGCCTTGGGTTACTGCTGGTAATCCTGCCTTCCCCTTGTAGGGTTAGAGGAGGTCAGAACATGTGGCCTCCTTGTCGTTTTTGTACTTCCTTACAGGGAGTGGCTGGTGGGTTTGAACCGCTGGCCTTCTGGATAGCCGTCAAATGCCTTAGGCACCACATCATCAGAACTCCTACTGTAGAGTCCTTGTTCTGACTACATCCAGCTGCCCAGCCCCTTAAAACCAGGCCCAGCCAAGTTTATCTTAACTACCACAGATGCCCTAAGTGGTTTCCAGGCCATCCCCTTGGCAGAATACACTTCAGGGGTGGAATCTCTGTGGGAAAATCCAACTGCAGGTAAAAAAAGTGAAAGCAGTTGCGAACATAACGTCCCTGCTAGAAACCCTGAGTAGAGACCTGAGCACATACCATGTTGCGTTAAAAACCAAACCAAACTCATTGCCACTGAGTTGATTATGACTCACAGGAACCACCACTGGGTTTCCAAGGCTCTAAATCTTTACGGAAGTAGATTGCTCCATCTTCCTTTTGTGGGATGGCTGGTGGTTTTGAACTGCCAACCTTCTGGTTAGCAGTCAAATGCCCTAAGCCCTACTTTCAGAAGGGGTGGAAACACAATCTCAGTCAATTCAGGGAGGCCCCAATTTGTTCTCCCAGGAAAGGGGGCACCTGTACTCTGGGGACAGGAGAGGCCAAGTGCCAGGGGGCTGTATCAGACCTGGTTAATCCATTCTTCAGCATCCCTCTAGCCCCATCTGCTCAGGACCAGTTTGCCTTTACTTGGAAGGGGCAGCAATGGGCATTTTTGGTACTACACCAGGGGTACGTGCACAGCCCCAGCACCTGCCATGCTATGACTGCTAGGTACCAGACTCGGTTTTCTTTCCCTGCTACTGTCGGTTGGTTTCATTACACTGATGACAACAGATTAACTGCTGACGATGCTTCTATGTGACAGGATTGTCCAGATGCTCTTATCACCCACCTACAAAGGCGAGTATGGGTCATGAGCCCCAGAAGGAGCAGGGACTAGGAACGTTGGTAAAATTCTTACGGATCACCTGGTTGGTAAGACCTATGTGTTGCCTGAGTCCACAGTTAATAAAGCACAAACTTTACCGTAGTCGGTCCACGGCTCGAAAACACCCTATCGACTGGTGAAAAGGTGTGCCTCTTGGGACTGGACAAACAAGAAAGCAAAAGTGTTGGCTGTGCAAGGGAAAGGGCTGGGGACAATACAGGAAGGCTACATGTCAAGATGGCCCTCCATCTAACGTGCTGCTAGAGCCGCCTCCCCCTCTGCTAGGAGTGGGGGGAAGCCGTTGCCAGCAGATGCCTGGTACACAGATGACTCTAGCTGAGGTACATGAAACCAGCTCAGGGCAAAGCACCAATGAGCAGAATTAAGGGCTGCAATGAAGGTCATCACCCACAAGCCCTGACTCTTAACCCTTTGGACACACACCTGGGCTGTAACCTATGGGTTAACTATGTGGACTGGCCAATGGCATAAGGAGCAGTGGACAATACTGGACAAGGTCTGTGGGGGAGAGCCCTGTGGCAGGACACCTGGGATCATCTCCAAACCTCGGACACTGATCTGTTTTTCATGTGGCAGCCCATTCGCTGCTTTCTCCACTGGAGAACCGAGAAGCAGCTGTTACAACAAGTTAGGATGGTGCATCCAGAAGGGGAGGTCGCCCACTGGCTTCACCAGGGAAATGGACACCACAGTGCCTGTGTTAGCTGGAAAACAGCCACAGAGACAAGGCACAGACGGAAACTGCAGTGATTTGGTGGCTGCTGTACAAACTTGTCCCACGTGCTCACACCACTGCCCAAGGTCTCTGCCCCATAATCCTGCACACATTCATAACGGAACACAGCCAGTGACACACTGGCAGGTGGACCATCAGACAAAGCTTCCAAGACGGGGTGGGCCAAGGTGCTGCCTGAGGTTTGGAGGTTGATAAATTCAGCCCCACTGGGGTAGGTTTGGTCCCACATGCCAGACTGGGCGCCCCGGGTGGCCAACCAACCTCAATACGAGTGGCATCACAGGCTCCCAAAGCTTATCTGCCCAGGTTGTTGCCAGAACAAGGCAGCATGGACCTCTGAACACCTCAGACCTGGTGCTGGAAAGTGGAAATATCTATTGGCATTTGGCGTGGGTCACCCCACTAGGGGTGATTGGTTACTTTGTCCCTCTGGAGACAGAGAAAGTAACCGGCCTAACGTGAGAACCCACCATCTAACAGCATAGGGGGCTTCACTAGTCGTATTTCACCTGGACTGGGACAGAGACTGCAGCATAGGAGACAGAAGTAGTCTCCTTTTCTGGCAAAGAGCAAAATGGGTAACTTTATTCGCAAGCCCTCAGGTGACCTCCCTAGAGCAGCATGTATGGGCCTAAGACAGCCCTTGTTCTCACCATCCAAACAGAAGCCACTAGATGATCCTAGTAGAAGGAAATGACTTAGCCCTCCCAGTACCTACTAAACACTTGTCTTTCCAACTCTATGAATGTCCTACACTGCTTTGTTCCCTTTGGGGCTACTGTCTTCCTAGAGTAGGCTCACAGCTTCAGTGAAGCCCACCACAAAAGCAGTTGCTGGGTCTGTAGACAGCTCCTCTTCTCAAGTACTGAAGGCCTACCTTGGAGTGAGGGCCAGAACCAACTGGGCAGCCTTGGGAGACATACGGGGGCATGTTTGAGCCTCTGTTACCAAGTGGGGATAACATGACTGGTAATAAGTTTTTTAAAAAAGAGAAAAGAGTAGTTTTTTTCCTTAAAGTAGAATGTCTGGCTGTGCTACAATGTTAATGGCAGTAAGAGCTAAACTCCAGGGAGTAAAGTTGGCAGCAGGTTTAAGTGGAAGTGAACTTTGCTTGCCCTGGTTTATAATACCTGCAAATAATGAGTCTGAAAAGAAACAATGAAATACTATTCAATTTTGGTAAAAATCTGTAAGATGGGGCAAAAGCTGGTGAATCTTTCACTGTAAAATGTGAAAATAGCAGGGAGTTCATAGCCTTTAGAAGGTGTTAAGTGAGGAGGATCAGGTGCAGGGCTATTTTTGAAATTCATGAGAATTTCTTCAAGTGTTTATTGGCCACAGGCTCAGGTTCCACTGGCTGTTTCAGTCCCCTCCCTTGGCTCTGTGAAAGCCATGGGCCAAACTGAAGCTCTGACCAATTTTACTAACAGGCCATGAACGAGAGCAGAGAAAGCCTGCAGCCATTAACTGCCGAAACCACCTAGATGAGGAAGGCAGTCCTCTAGAATCGATGGCCCTGGGCATGCGCGCCTGTGTACCAGACTACCACCAGAACTGTGCTGCCTGTCAGGCTACGTGACAAAACAGAACAAGGCTGTGGACACACCCTCTGGCCACAGCTCCCCTCCCACTCCCTCCCCATAGTTACCTCTTCCCAGTCTCCATCCCTGCATACACTCCTGCCCCCTGAGCTGTCTCCCTGTGCATAAGCAGCCCTTCTTTCTCCCATGATTGTTCTCTCCAGGGCGTGTGTCTACTTGAGGTAAATGTTTAACTCACTTGCCTGTACTTTGTTTGGCTGGAAACCACAGGTGTGGGTTCAATTCCAGACCTGAAGGGCAGCTAAGGGGCCATAGTCTCAGTGGTTCCACCAGGCTCTATCAGACCAGCAAACCTGGTCCTCACCTTTTTTTTTTTTTTCTCCAAATGATTTTGAGTTTTGTTCCACATTGTTCTCCCTCTCTGTCCAGGATCTCCTACATAGATCCCCTTTCAAGTGGATGACAGTGGTAGCCGGGCACCATCTAGTTCTTCTGGTCTCACAGTTGTATAGGCTGCAGATCGGATGGTGTACCAGTCGCTAGGACTAATTGTTTTCATGAATTTTGGTTTTCTTCATTCTTCTTTGCTCTGGATGAGGAGAGACCCATCGTTGCATCTAGATGGCAGCTTGCTAGCTTTTAAGATCCCAGTTGCTACTCGCCAAAGTAGGAGGTGGAACAATGTTTTGTATAGTATGTTATGCCAATTGAACTTGATGTCCCCTGTGGCTAAGTCACTCTTATGTAAATCATTTTCTAGGGTGGTCTTGGAGGTCCAAGGCCCTGAAGCCACACCACCTTTGTTCACCAGACCTGTAAAAGACTTGCCTCCTGCTGGGGAGTGGAGACTCGAGCCTGCCTTGCCACCTTGCCTCAGTAGGTTAAGCCCTCCATAAACTCCTACATCACCACCGTGGAGCTGCCAGTTTTTCTTCATGCTCACAGAACCTTAGGCAAATTTCAAACTACTGGTCCATATCCAGACACTTTCACCAAAGATATTTAGGTGACCAATAAACACATGAAGAAATTCTCATGATCATTAGCCATTAGAGACAATGAGGTATCATCTCACCCCGTCATTAACGGCAAAGTTCAACAAGACAGAAACAACAAATGCTGGTGAGGGTGTGGAGACCAGAACCCTCATACACTGCTGGTGAGGTGGTTACCTGGTGCAACCATCATAGAAAATAGTATGGCGCTTCCCTAAAAATTTAGAAATAAAAATACCATGTGATCCAGCAATCCCACTAGTAGGTATAGATCCTAGAGAAATAAGAGCCGTAACAGGAACAGATACATGCACACCCATGTTCACCGCAGCATTATTCACAATAGATGTTAACCACCTAAGTGCCCATCAACAGATGAATGGATAAACAAACTATGCCACGTACACACAATGGAATATCATGCAATGTTAAATAATGATGAATTTGCAAAACACCTCATAACACAGTTGAATCTGGAGGACATTATGCTGAGTAAATTAGTCAATCACAAAAGGACAAATATTGTATGAGACCACAATCATAAAAAGTCAAGAGAAGGTTGACTCACACACACACGGAAGACAAACAAAAACACAACAATGGAAGTCAAAATACAGGCAGTCCCCAACTTACGACATACTTGAGTTACAACAAACTGCACTTATGGCCATCTGTGGCTTTGTTTTATTTTTACGTCTATGGTCAGTGGTATGTTGCAGAGCATAATTCGTTGATGCTACCTACTATCATTCTCAGATGTTCACTAACAGATGTTGGGTTTTATGATTTACTGTTCAAAACAGTGCTGGATTTATAAAGATACTAATAACAAAAAAAGAAAGGAAAAAGTATTCAACCTACATCAGAATCGACTTACAACAGAGTAGACAGAATGGAATCCTATTGTAAGCCAGGGACTACCTTACCGTGAAGTTTTATCAATATGCTGAAAGAAAATAATTACCAACATAGAATTCTACTCCCCGCAAAAAAAATCCTTAAAGAATCAATGTAAAATAGGCATTTCCAGATAAACAAAAAGCAGAGGAAATTCATCATCAGACCTGCACCAAAGGGAATACTATAGCATTCTTTAGGTACAAGATTATCCCAGGTGGAAACTCAGAAATGCAAAAAGGAATGATGAGCAACATTAAAGGTAACTACATAAGTCTAATGAATAATAAAGAATATTGACTAGATCATATAACGTATTGCAGGGCTTAAAAGAGAGAATTCAAGCACACAAACACAACAGCATATGAGTTGGATAGAGGATAGGGATGAAATATTCTAAGATCTCTGAATTTTCTTAGAAAAAGGTGAAAACAGCAATTAATACTAAACTGTGATAAGTCATGAATACATGTGAAATCTGCAGGAAAACCAAAGTTAGGAGAGAACAACTTACAAGGCAGAGGAAGAAAAATGGAGTAATAAAAAAGAATCAATTCAATAGAAGGCAAAATGAATATAAAATACAACATAGGCAGGACAAAAAGAAAACACAAAGGTACATCTAACCCCAAACACCAGTAATTATATCAAATTTCAATGGATTAAATGATCCCATTAAAAGAGGATCCCTAGTGAACTTACCTCTTTACCACCCAGTTTCCTTGGACCAACATCGCCACCTTCTGGATGCCACGCAGAACAGCCACAGGGTCGACAGAGGGGCCTAGCAGGCTCATCAAGTTGGCAAAAGGCATGACCTTCACTGAGGATGACATGGGAGACATGAGAAGAGGGGAAAGGGCCTGGGTCCTTACCTCTCCCATGCTTGAAGTCTGCACAGCTTCAAGCTCATAAAAATCCCCATAATGTGAATCAAGATAATGACGTCAAAGGCTGGTATTCATTCACTGGTCGGTATGCACCAGGCACCGTGCATCTCACTGAATCTCTAGTTACTTTATGAGGAAGAGTCTATTATTATTCCCATTTTACAGGGGGCCAAACCGAGGCCCAAAGGGTTTCAAAACTCACGAAAATGACAACGGTAGAAAGTGGAGAGCAAGGGTCTGAGCCCAGGACATCTGGCTCCAGAGTCTGTGCACTTAAAAATCACTGTACTCTGCTGTTTACCAGACTCCCAAGCCGCCAACCAACTGAGCACTGGATAGGGCAGCAGGCTGGTGGGGAAGGCCCCAGGTCCTCTGCAGGAAGGCAAGAGCTCCGTCCCTGGCAGCCCCGGGCTACTGTGCAGCCCAGTGAGGGCACCGTGACACAGTGCCCGTGAAAACGCTTCATCGTTAGATGACAGAAGCTCAGGTGAGGCTCTATACTAAGCACTTTAAGAGCCTCATGTCTTTGAATCCTTCACAACTAAACCCAGTGGGGTTCGGAGGGTTAGGGACCTGCGTAAGGACACACAGCAGGGAGTGGCCGGGGTGGCTCTGGAGCCCGGTGCCTGTCCCGGTGCTTCGCCCCCCCCAGACCAGGACAGTGCTGAAAAGCTGCATCGGGAGCGGGGGGTGGGCACCCACCGTTCTTCATCAGGATCTTGATCTGATCCGCCAGCGGTAGGGTGCGCAACTGGGCCATGGACAAGACATTGCTGGGGGCCACAGGCTTATCCCTATTGAAAACCAAAGTGACAGGTTAGAGCAGGCGGGACCAGGGGAGGGAGGGCGGGGCCAGCCCACCCCTACTCACTTCTCCTCCTCCTGGCTGGGCGGCACAAGCATCATGAGGTACTCACTACGGGGAAAGAGCAGAGGTCAGGAGCTCCCAGGGCCCCGGCCCTGCTCCACCCCTGCCCGGGACCACAGGACGGATGCAGGCTACAGCCTTCTGACCACACAGCCGCAGGTAAGGGTTGAGGGAGGAGGAGCAAACAGAGGTCAAGCTCACAGTATGAAGAGCTCCTTCAGAAAGACAAGGCTCACCCCTTCCGTGTCCACCTCTGGCGGCCCCCAGGGGACAAAGGCCTTCCCCTTTCTCCACATCCCTCCCTGCACACTAGAGAAGGGGGCGCCAGTCCAAGGGAAGGAGCCGTCACACCAGAGACCCTCCTGGACGGGTGAATGTTGGGCTCAGGAGCTCCCGGCCCGGTCTACCTGGGCGACTTGACGAGCTCCGTGTTCTCCACAGGGCTGGGGCCCTGGCACAGCAGGTACTGGCGCTCGTACTCGGAACGGCTGTCCTGTTGGGGGAGGGGTGGAGAAACAGAGCAGCTCTCAGCCCTGCATGTCTTCCACCCACTGTCCTACTCGAAGGCCACAGCGGCACATTCCACTTCCTGAGCACAACACTCCAGGCTCCCAGATGTGACCTGAACCAACCACCTGTCTGGCCCACACAACCCCCACACCCCAAGACTCAGCACCACCTATAATGCTGAAGCATTAACAAGAATGATAAAAAGAACAGGAAATGTTTACAAAGCACCTACTAGGTGCCAGGCTCTGTTGCAATACACATTTTGTCCTCAAAATAACTCGACAAGGCAGGTACTATTATTATTGCTCCCATTTTATAGATAAGGAAACTGAGGCACAGATGGGTTAAGTAACTTTTCTGAGGTCACAAACTAGGAAAAACAGCTTTCAGATAGTCTGAGCCTGAATCTAAGGCTGTCAACACAAACTTCTTCCAGGAAAGTTCCAGAGAAATCAGGCATTACTCCTCTTCAAACAGACGTCAGGGAACCTCCGAGAGCAAATATCCCATCACTTCCCTCACTCAGTGCACAATTTCAACAACTAGGTTCTGAAGTCACTGCATCAGATGAAACCGAGCATAAAGCAAAAATCACCCTCGGAAGGTACTGAGCACTCGGGCATGTGGTGGAAGGCTGGGTCTTTGGCAGAGCACCGAAGTGCTGGCCCACGTCCAGGGCCCACACAGCACGAGACAACACATCACCAGAGCGCAGACCTACTGTGAGCCCAGCAAGACGCTCATACTCCGGAGGAGAGGAGCCAGAAACCTGACTCACAGTTCTCCTCTCCTGCTCCCCAAAAGTGGAATCACTGACGTGGTGGGCGCACTGCCCACAGTATCTCTATTCTCTCTCAGTGGGACCACCAAGGGCTACAGCTGAATTTGATGTAAACTAAAGGTGAGTTGATGTGGACCCTGTATGGCTTCCTGGCATCAGAGCTTCTCCTGCAGCTGTGTGTTTATGTGTGTTTGTGAGCTGTGCTCACCTTGAGGCCATGGTAGTGCAGGTGGACCCAGGGCTCTTCCGCGTGCTTCTTCTGCAGGAACTCATAGGACTGCACTCGGCGCTGACGGGCCTGCTCCGACTCTGGCCGGGAGAACCGCACCTGGGGGCAGGAGGGGAGGGCTGATGCCCTTAGGCCTGTGACCCTTCCAAGTCTTCCATCCCAGCCTCTTCAGATCTGAGAATCCCACATCTGGGGCCAGCTTCCCCCCTCCACCTCCCTTCTTACTTCCCATATAGGCCTTCCAGATTCAACCCAGGGAGCAGCTTTCTCTTGCTTTTCCCTGCCCAGCATCCATCTAGCTCTGCTTCCACTGGTAACCAGACCTCCCATTGCCCTCTGGGAAATTCCCAGTTCTCGCTAAGTTCAGGGCGGTAATCGCCTGACCCCCACCCAAAACACATACACACACACACACACACACACACAGCTACAGGAGTAGGCACATGAGTCAGCCCTGGCCAATCAAAGCATCAAATCCTCTGAGCCACAGGGACTGGCTCAGGATTGGCAAAGCCAATGAGTGAATTATGAGAAGACTTCAGTTGGAAGTAATGAGAAAAAAGTTTCTTTTTCCCAGACATCTTAGAAGATGGGGAGGGATGTAAGCCTGCAACTGGGGCCGATGCTCTCTCTACCACTGGGGAAAGCCATCTTGTCTGAGAAAGAGGCCAACAAAGGAAGACAGAACCTTAAGTCTGAGCACCTAAATCCAGCCCTACCTGAAACTACATTTGAACTTTTCAGTAACATGGACCATACGGTCCATTTTTGTTCAAGCCAGTTTGATCTGGGTTTTTGTCATTTACAGAGTCCTAAAGGACCCAAGCCCTGGCTCACTTCCCACAAAAGGGACCTATGTGGGTGCTTTGGCCAGATTACCAAACCCTGGGCTGTCAAAGCCTGAAGTGTCTTTAAAGCATATTAGCCTAAGAATGTCTTGTCAAGTAAGGACTAGTGAGTTCCCAGACAAGGGCATTATCTATGGTTGTCCAGCAAGCTACTGAGAACTGGGACAAGCATCCGGCCAACACTAGCCCATCTTCAATTTCTGACAAACATTCTTTACAAGCATACTGTGTACCACCTTGTCTGTGTGGTATTTTTCTTTACACAGACTCATTTTAACCTAAATATGCTTAAATTCCCCAAACCACACCTACTGCCATTAAGCTGCTTCTCACTCATGGTGACCCTGCGCATTATAAGCAGAACTGCCCCACTGTTTTCTTGGTTGTGATTTTTTTGGAAGCAGATCACTAGGACTTTCTTCTGCAGTCCCACTGGGTGGGTTCGAACCACCAACTTATAGTTATTAGTTGAGAACAAACTGCACCACCCAGGGCTATATGCTTAAAAAGGGCAGTGACTCATTCTGCTGTACGCAGAGTCACTGTGAGTCAGAACAGCACCTACAAGAACAAGCACGTAAACTATGAACGGGAGGTCAGTATTTTTCTAATGATCTTTAAAATAAAGGCGGGACTGTTAAAATAGAGGAAGATGGAGCAGTCTGCTTTTGTACAGATTTACAGCCCTGCAAACCATGAAGCAGTTCTACTCTGTCACATCAGGTTGCTAGGAGTCAGAACCGACCATACGGCAATGGGTGTGTATGAAAATAGAAATTCTTCACCTGTGCACTACTGAAAAGACAGACTTCCACATTTAATTCACAGGGGCCTTGGCTCTGGTAAGTCTATGCCTGTGGGTTCGTTCACTGGGCCCCGTGTCCTGGCTTCTTCTTCCCAGGCAACTCCAGCCCAGCCCCAGGAGCCAGTCTTAAACTAGAGCCACTACCCTGCTTATAGCTGTTGATAAACCAGGCTAAGCAGGGGTTAAGCCATTCCCTCCAGGTAGCCCAGCAAGAGGGCTCTAAGCAGAATGGACGCTCAGTAACTGCCTCACCTCAGAGCCATTTCTGACTGAGACCTTCCCTACCCCTAGCTGTCTCCAGGCAGCTGAGCCATAAGGTCAGCCCTGTTCCTCCTAGGCTCCCCCCTCCTCTTATGGCTGGAGCTCACCGTGATCTGCTTAACGTCTTCTTCTGCTTCATCCTGCGACGAGTCTCCTGCTACAAGAAAAACAAGTCCTTGGCTTGCAGCCACTGGTGAAGCCCTGAGCTTCCTGTTCTCAGTGCCACCTGCTGGGGGGCTTCAGCAACAGGGACCTATGGATGCTCCTTCTGGACATTAAGTTAGTCACATAAGCCAGGGGTTGTCAACCGAGTGTGATTCTTCCCCACTTAGGGCTATTTGGCAATGTCTGGAGATATTTTTGGTGGTTACAAATAGTGGAGAGGATGCTATTAGCCCAGGATGCCGCTAAATATCCTACTATGCACAGGAACATGCCCCACAATCCAATCCCTTCAATGCTTTTTCCCACAACAAACCCGTCCTGCCAAGATGCAGACACCCAGGCAGCAGCAGGGCCCCAGAGCTCACCCTCATTGGCTGCCTCCCTCTCACGGTGCTTGGCGTCAGCTTTATCCAGGTAGGAGAAGCTGGGTCGCAACTGCAGGATGCCATGTAAAGGCGTCAGGTGGAGTTCACCTAGCAGAGGAAGAAGGGCAACCCGACTCGAGGAACTGGGGTCAACCCACCCAGCTTGACTCAAAGGAGATTCATCAAGGACCCAGGACTCCCTAGGCTATCACATCACCTCCCCCTTTTGGGCCCATGGATCCTAAGCCTTGGGGCCACAAAGTTGAGGGCCACTCTTGGTACAATCTTGGCCCTGGCTACAGAACAAGGTCATAACCTGGACCACAACATGAACCTGGGCTCTTCTGCTCAAATCCACTTCCTTTCATTCAAATCCTTTGGCAACCTTTCAAGGCTCTCCCAATTCTGACCCCTATGGCCCCTAACTAAACTGGGCAATGTGTTTAAACCAAGCATACCCTGCTCTCTCTCTGCGCCGGGCCTTTAATGAGGCTAACTACCCCCACCCCTAACATACACAATCCTACTTCCTCCTCCTCACCCTCCCACCTTTTCCTGTCAAAGTCCCACCCATTCCTTTAAGAAATCCACCAATGTGGCTGGAGAAGGGGTCCTGATGGAGCCCATGAGTTTCTCCAGTCTCTGATGAAGACTGACGTTTCCTCATGAATCAGCTGCACACACAGCTCTTAAGTGGGAGGCAAAGACAATCAATTCCAATCAAGTCAATGTAGACTTGGAAGAGAAGAAACCAGAGTGCTAGGACAGACATGACTCTGTGTAAGCTATCTGGACTCAAGAGGGGACAAAATGCTCACGAGGAGTAAGTAAGAGAAAGGCCTGGGGGCAAGAACATGGCTTTAAAGAACTATATGCAAGAGACACTGGTTCAAAACAAGAGAGTATACAGTAGTTATTCGACACTAGTTTCGATCCTATTCTATTTTCATCATCCCAAAAAGAAACCTTGTTTGTATCCATTAGTCATCAATCCTTATTCTTCCTCCCTATCCCCTTAGTAGATTTAGCTACTCTTCATTCAAGAGCAAGTTTTAGTCTCTGCTGACATGCACTTTGGTCTTTTCTGTCTTCTTAATGACCTTTTGTTTTTTTCAGGTATGATGTTCTTGATGTTAGCCCACAACTTGTATGGACTTTGGTCACTGGTGTTCAATGAGTCAAATCTGTTCTTCAGATGGTCTCTAAATTCAGGTGGGATATACTCAAGGCCATCGTTTGTCTCTCATGGACTTGTTTGAATTTTCTTCAGATTCAGCTTACATTTGCACATGAGCAATTTAAGTCTGTTCCACTGCTGTCCCCTGGCCTTGTTCTGGTTGATAATGAGTTTCTCCATTGTCTCCTTCCACAGTTACAGTCTACTTGATCCCTGTATATTCCATCTGGCATGTTCCATGTATCTAGTCACTGTTTGTATTGTTTAAAAAAGGTATCTTCAATGACTAAGTCGGTCTTGTAAAATTCTATCATGCGATCTCTGACTTCATTTCTATCACCAAGACTGGATTTTCCAACTATCAATGCTTCTGCTTTGTTACCAACTTTCACATTCCAATCACTAGCAATTATCAATACATCTTCATCGCATGTTTGGTCAATTTCACACTGAAGAAGTTAGTAAAAATCTTCAATTTCTTCATCTTTTGCTTTGGTGGTTGGTGTTTGTGTGATTTGGGTCAAAGTTTACAGAACAAATTCACTTTCCATATAGCAGCTCACATTCACTTTGTTTTATGACACTGTCTGCAATTTCCATTGACAGTTCCTTTCACCTCCTCCCCATAGTTACCTCTTCCCTGTGTCCTTCCCTCCTATGTATTCCTGCCCCCCCCCCAGCTGTTTCTGTGCGCATATAAAGCCCTTCTATTCTCCCATGATTGTTTTCTCCAAGGAGTGTTACCTACCTAATGTAAATGTTCACCTCATATGTCTGTCTTTTGTGTGGCTGGAAGCTGTGGGAGTGGATTCAATTCCAGACCTGAAGGGCAACAAGGGGCCACAGTATCAGTGACTCCATCAGGCTCTATGAGACCAGCAAATCTGGTCTCTTTTTTTTTTTTTAATTATTTTCAGTTTTGCTCCACATAGTTCTCCCACTCTGTCCAAGATCTCCAACAGAGATTCCACTCCGAGTGGTTGACAGTGGTAGCCAGACACCATCTAGTTCTTCTGGTCACAAAGTCAATATAGGTTAATAATCACATGGTATACCAGTCCCTTGGACTAATTGTTTCTATGAATCTTTGGTTTTCTTCATTCTTCTTTGCTCTGGACAAGGAGAGACATATCGTTGCACCTAGATGGCTGCTTACAAGCCTTTAAGATCCTAATTACTACTCACCAAAGTAGGAGGTGGAACAGTATTTTTGTACTATGTTATGCCAATTGAGCTTGATATCCTCTGCAACTATGGTCCCAAGCCCACAGGCCCAACAGTTTGCTCCCTCTGGGTAGCTGGATGTGGCCAAGAAGTGACTACAACCTTGTCCCTTGTCAGCTCTACTATACACCTGGGAATCCTTTCAGAACATACAAATACACTTGTAGAAATACTGTCTGCCAACCCTATACATGGTCATGGGCACACTCCCCACCCCTGCACAGACATACCTAAACGTTCAGCCTGTCCACTCCTCTATCCACCTGTATATCAATGCTTGCCTTCACTGACAATGCAGTACTGTGTGTGCAAATGGGTTCATCTTTGTTGTTTGTACCTCCCATGCACCTCTGTCTTCCTCTTCCTCAATGCCACTGTGTTGATCACTCACATTTGGTACATTGCCCTTCTCTTCACCCAAATCAATACTTGTCTCTACCTACCTAACAATGTTCCCTCCTCTCCCCTCTCATCCCTGGTAACCAACAAGGAAAATTTCCTTCCATATATGAACTTTTCCTTGACTTTTTACAATAATGGACTAATACAGTATTTGTCCTTCTGTGATTGACTTATTTCACTCAGCATACTGTCCTCCAAGTTCATCCACATTATGAGGTGTTTTGCAGATTCTACGTTATTCTTTAGGGTTGCAGAGTATTCCACCGTGTGTATGTATCATAGTTTGGTTATCCATTCTTCTGTTGATGGACACCTACAAGCTACGAGAACCTAAATGTTTCCATCTTTTTGCTATTGTAAATAGTCCTGTGATGAACATGGGTGTGCATGTATCTGTTGTTGTCCTGGCTCTTACTTCTTTAGGATATATACCTAATAATGGAATTGCTGGATCAAATGGTATCTCTAATTCCAACTTTTTAAGGAATCACCATACTGCTTTCCACAGTGGTTGTATCATTTCACAATGTCACCAGCAGTGTATGAGAGTCTCAATCTCTCCACATCCTCACCAGCATTTGTTACTTTGTCTTGTCAGATGGTGTCTCATTGTTTTGATTTGCATCTTGCTAATGGCTAATGATCGTGAGCATTTCTTCATGTTTTTTGGCCACCGGAATATCCTTTCTGAAGTGTCTAATCATGTCTTCTGCCCATTTTTAAACTGGATTATTTGTCTTTTTGGTGTTGAAGTGTTGGGACTTTTCTATAAATTCTAGAGTTAAGTTCCTTGTCAGATATATCATTGCCAAATATTTTTTCCCCATCTGTAGGTTCTTTTTGGACTCTTCTGGAGAAGTATCTTGAAGCACATAGAAATTCAATTTTTAAAAGGTGTTATTCATCTAGTTCATCTTCTGCTGTTTGTACATTTTGGGTTATGCTCGATAGTCTATTCATGTCATATATTTGTTGTTGTTGTTGTTATGTGCCGTC